AGAGCGCAATTCATCTAGCGTGTGCCTTTTGACGACCCTGAGAGAGGATCTGGATGGACATCAAGGGATCCTCAAATGGAGGATCCCCCTTCCTCGGGTGAGTCCATTTGTGTTCCTAGAATCCTGGTCCGGGGGAACCCACTCTGAAGTGGCCAAACAAACGTCAGCTGCTCGTCCATTTGCCCAAAGTGAGAGACACGCTTTGGCCCAAGACGCAAATGCCATGGTCAAGTGGTTTCGTTTCAGTTAAACAATCTCCACTGGTTTAAGTTTCTAGGAAAAAACAGTAGTGATAGATTCCCTGCAAAACCAACAGGGGCAAATACAACATATTATTAAGCAAATGGAAGACAATCTCCGTTTGCTTCAGTTTCCAGAAAAATAAGAACATGCCCAGTACTGATAGGTTTCCTTGACAACCAACAGGGGAACACACCAAATAATATTAAGCAAATGGAAGACAATGGCCCACCCCACCACAACCCCCCCCCCCCCAACAAAAAGAAAGAGGTCCCCTAGGCACCTCTGTCAAGTTTTCGGGCACAGCATATGGTGATGCCAGAAACCATTGCTGAGTACAACTATGTCCTCCAGTAGAGAGGTTCGAATCAGGGTACCCTATTTTTCTGTAGTCTATTTTAGTAGGGGACCCCTCCCCCAAAAAAGAAACGGTAAAAGGTCACTGCTGGGGGACCTAGACAGAGCACTACACGTATCCGTCCTCGTTGTTTCCGTTGAGACAGTTCCACAGAACAGCCTTTAAGATGGCAAGGGGGTGCACATCTTGATGTACATAATGACCACCAATGGGGTCGCCAACCAAACATGAATTCATGCTCTCAAGCACGCCCAAAGTTGATTGATGTTTGGCCATGAACATGGTATTGTTCAAAATAACAAAGGTTCTCACCCGTGGAGCCAGGGTCACCCTACTCGATTGGAGAGGAATCGGTGGGCTCCCGGAACCTCTCTCGCGTCTCTCGGAAGCAGCCTCGATGTTAAGGGCCCTATCTTTCCCCTTTAAACATCGCCCCTGCCCGCAAATGGGTATGAAACTATGAAATTTAATTGAGGATCCTCTGGTGGATATCATTTAGCTGAGGATTCATGTCCAACCATTTGGAAGTGTATTCCAATTCAAATTCATAGGCAACTGGGCCAAAATGGCGATGCTGCAAGGCGAGGTCGCAAACATTTCGTGGTGAATGTGAAAAAGGAATCCCCCTTCGCTTGGGAGATTCTACTTTCTTGGCCTTCCCTCGCTTCCTGAGTTGATTGGCCAAAAAAAGTCCAAACTTTTTGTTTACCACCAAAATGGTTTTCCCAAAAAGTATAAAGTCCATGAACTCAGGAAGTGAGTTCTTGGCCTTCCTGCTTCGCCAGTGGACAAAATCGCCTTTGCCCAGGGGATCCATTCGCCACTTCCCCAGCGGTCTGCCACTAATTCGTGCGCTGGCTCCCGTTTTGTCCGCAAACGCGGCTTGGGGAAACCACAGCCGCGAACCGGTCCAAAGTGTCCTTCCAATTTCCGAGGCTCAAAACCACAAGGCCATGTGGCTTCCCTTCAAAACCACAAGGTGCACTCAACTAGACCCTGAAGATTTGAGAGGGTAGAAGAAGTGGGTACCCCATTTTTGTCTGCCTGTTTTAGTGGAACCCTCCCCAACAAAAAGGGGTAAGAGGGCACTACTGGGAGACCTGGTCAAGTCAGAAGTTGATCAATTACTGGTGGCTTCTCATTGAAAAGATTGCCACTTTTGGAGCTTCCGAAAAAGATAAATTGAGGAACCCCGGTCAAGAAACCGGCCCCAACCATTTGGGCCGTACCGAGCGGGGCCCAGCGGCTTCCGCCAGGGTGCCGAAAGACGTACGCCCAAAGCATCCAATGTCTCGCCTTACCGCCGAATCCAACTCGAATCGAACTCGACTCGGCTCAGCGATTCAGACGTCGGACAGCGAACACGGCGCGGCAAAGGGGTCTCCAAGTCGCCTCTCTCAACTACAGAGCCAAGCGTCAGAAAAGGACCCTCCATTGGGGCAAAGGAACCTCCCTTCCAACTTTTTGGATGAAAAAGAAAAGGGGGTCAAAAGGCAAAGCAAACCTGATTGCCGAGAACCCGAATGGACTTTGATTGCTGCTACCGCAACTTTCTCTACCCGCCCATCTATCTTCTCTCCTGCAGCCACCTGGCCACCTATCTATGAACCTATCTGTCTCAGCTTGTCAGGTGGGCTTTGGACAGTTGCCCTGCGGAGCCGGGCTTGTAAACTAAAGGGACGGTGCATTACAGAAGGGGTTCCTGCCTTCGGGGCAAGCCCCCCTCCCCCCGCCCAGAAATGTTTTGGAGCCAAAGCCAGAAAAGCTTGCTCCGCGAACTGGCCGAGCGGCCAGACGTCTGGCCGCCATGCGAACAGGCCGAGGAGTATGAAGAATATGAAGAGCTACATGTGCCGGCCGCCTTCGGACGGCACCTGAAGGGGCCTGACTTTGAGCCAATCTCACAGGCATGCTCCTCTTTTTTCCCGGGACCAAACAAAAGACCACCTGGACCCTGCAAATACCCTTACAAATTGGGTTAGTGCTCACACACACACACACACACACACACACACACACACACACACACACACACACACACACACACACACACACACACACACACACACACACACACACACACACACACACACACACACACACACACACACACACACACACACACACACACACACACACACACACAAAAAACAAACAAAAACAGAACAAACATCTAAAGCTTGTGAAAAGAATGATCGAAGAACAGGGAGACTAGGTCCTCCAGTAGAGAGGTTAGAATAAGGGTACCCTTTTGTCTCTAATCTATTTTAGTAGTGGAACCCTCCCTAAAAAAGGGGCAAAAGGGCACTACTGGGGGACCTAGGAGAGTATACAGTACACATCTCAGATTGGGTGGGTTTGTCAAATGGGTTGTCAAATGAGGTGTCCCGAATCACGCAACATTTCTAACGTAGCACCTGTGGGAGGGTAATGTTGCCCCCGGATGAATAAACCCCGGCTTATTAATATGAGGCTGTCCCTGGCTTTAGTGGGGATTTATCACTTTTGGAGGGGAACCCCCCCATATTAATAAACAGGGGGCTATTAATTATCCGGGGTCAACATTCCCTGAAAGATAAGCTTCCTCTTGTAGGGAGCCCCTGTCAGGTGCCATGTTAGTGAGGGTAATCCTTTTCACAGATGTAGTGATGTCATGGCTTCTCTTCAAGGGAGAGGGTAAGAGGACTGAGCTCGAAGAACCAGGTCGAAGAGTCCATCCTGCCAACCCATCAATCCGCAAGACACTCGCCGACCTTTTGATCCCGACGCATAAAGGAACGACGTTGCCGAACGCGGCAACCACTGTTGCACGCGGGGGCCCGCTGGGTGCACGCAAACAAGGCAGGAGCATGCAAGCAAAACCGTGCGCGCTCAGGAGCTCAGAGGTAGTATTCCGAGAGGTCCACCTGTCAAGTGAAGCGTCTTGCTCAGGATCCCTCAAGGTGCTCCAAGAGAAACAAAAGCAAACCAGCCAACTGGGAGGTCTGCATATTAAGTCATGAGGAGAAGGTGTTCTTATGGCATCCTTCAGGAGGGGTGGGGTGGGGGGGTGAGCTTGTGGTTCCCCAAAAGACCCAGGGAAAACGATCCGGGCTCCACAGAGAGAGCAGGCAAACTCTTCACGGCCAGCTTCTAGATGCGCGGACGGCAAAATTGGGGGCCCTTTCAAGGAAACAAGGGCGTCGCCAATTCCAGCCCGGTTGCACCCACCCTCTGAGATCCTCTAAGGGGGATCTCAAGAGGTTCCTTGGGGAACCAGCCCTAAGAGAACAAACACATCTTGGATGTTCAAGAGGGTTGGGACCCTTCTCCCTTTTTCCATATCCAGGGTGGGAATGAAGGAGGCTCATTTAGGTCAGTCTGTTTTAGAGTGCCCCTTGTTTGTAGCTTTTGAAGGGAAACCCAAGAGGAACTCCGCCCTTCATGTTAATTAATCCCGTTTAACAAACCTCGTTGACTTTAATAGGGGGGTGTCCTCTTTCGAAACATGGGAACTCGGATCACTTTTGTGGGGCGCAACACCCCCCCTCCAATTATTTATTGACCTCGGATTAATTCGAAGGACCATACTAATCAGGGGCGGTTCAAGGTGGCGGTTCCTCTTTAAGTAAGGAAACAATCTACTTTTGGAGGGTTTCCCTGACAGTAAGGTCCGCCGGATTGATCCGAATTACTACTGTGCATGGACAAAATCCTGCACGACCTAAGAAACCCTGGTTTCTGATGATTCCCCTACAAATACCAACAAACAATGGTATCCCATGGTTTCACTGTGGTGCAGGATTGTGTCCATCCACAGTGACAGTATAGGATGGGTTCTACGTGAGCGAGCTTTCGCCTCCCCGCAGGGCTTGAGCTGGCTGCCCTGCATGCAGAGGCTGTTGATGCCGAAGCGATCCTGGCCAAAGCCCAAAAGCAAAACACCCGGAGCAAGGAGCAAAACAACAAAAGCCCCGACAAAACATGCCCAAAAGCCACAAACAACATCCAATGAAAATAGGCCAAGGGCCACAAACATCATCCCCAACCCCTCCCACACCCACACTTTCCTATCCATGTGTTTTTCTTTCTTCTGCTTGTTTGTTTTGCTTTTACTCTCAACCATTTGCGTTTTTGGTTGTTACTGATACCTTGTTGTTTGTTTCCAATGTTAGTCCCGCCTCTGGGGTGTCATGAGTCATAACCGTCGCCTACCTGGGAAGGGAATCCACCAAGACCCGAGAATGCCAAGGCAGAGCCACATGTGCCGCAATTTTCAGGGTCCAGATCTTGTGCACCTTGGTATTGCGAAGTAACTCAGCCATTGGCGCACAAGTTGTCGAGGATGCCACTCGGAAAGCTTTGTTGTTGCAAAGCAACGCTCGCCAAGGCTGTAACATGAAGCCAAGCGTTAAACAGGGGAAGGTTTCTTCCAGCCAAAGTCATGTTTAAATCCCAAGGAATGGCAAACATGGCTTGATAGCCTTGGGGAATCTCGCATATTGATTTGTTTGTCGGCAGCCTGTGAAAATTTGATGCAAATGGGCTTTCCAACAGGGTACCAAGGCAGGATGGGCCGGGTTGAACGGCTGAAGCTTGCTGGTCTGGATGCAAAATAAGAACATTGATTGCCCCCAAAGGAAGCCAAAAGGGGAGGGGTAAGGGTTCATTGGTTCGAGCCTAGTTTGGCACCCAGTTTGCAATCCGCTTTTCAAGGGGCTTCCAAGTCCAGTTGATTCAGCAGAACCCCCTGGACTTTTCATCCTCCCAGTCTGATGCACAGCCGCATCACCGCTTTTTGGATTTTTGCCAAGGAAAGCCCAGAACGATTGAACGTGGCTGGGTGGATCCTGAGCCTCTCGATCTTTGGGGAGATTGGTCCCACGAAACCAAGAAGCGCTCTGACAATCCGTCCATACATGAATCCCTGGTGTGAACCCCTGAATTATTGGACCGTTAAACGGCTTACTTTTAGGACATCGGACCTTTGAGGGTCCAACATATGGGCTCATATAGATGGAATTGTACAATCAGCCTTGATCAGATCAATCCAAGGTCCCAACTATGTACCCCTGGTAGGTGCCCCTGCAAAATACCACAGAAGCTGAAATGCATTATGGAAAGGGGATGATCCGGTTTGTGGGAAGAAGCCTAACGTGAACGTGACCAGTGGTGGGATCGGAAATGTTGGCAGCAAAGGTTGTTTTGTTCCGTTTGTTGATTGTTTGTCTGTCTGTCTGTGTCTGTCTGTGTCTGTCTGTGTCTGTCTGTGTCTGTCTGTGTCTGTCTGTGTCTGTCTGTGTCTGTCTGTGTCTGTCTGTGTCTGTCTGTGTCTGTCTGTGTCTGTCTGTGTCTGTCTGTGTCTGTCTGTGTCTGTATGTGTCTCTGTGTGTCTCTGTGTGTCTCTGTGTGTCTCTGTGTGTCTGTGTGTCTGTGTGTCTCTGTCTGTCTCTGTCTGTCTGTCTGTCTCTTTCTGTCTGTCTGTCTCTGTCTGTCTGTCTGTCTCTCTCTGTCTGTCTGTCGCTGTCTGTCTGTCTGTCTCTGTCTGTCTGTCTGTCTCTGTCTGTCTGTCTCTGTCTGTCTGTCTGTCTGTCTCTGTCTGTCTGTCTGTCTGTCTGTCTGTCTGTCTCTGTCTGTCTGTCTGTCTGTCTCTGTCTGTCTGTCTGTCTGTCTGTCTGTCTGTCTGTCTGTCTGTCTGTCTGTCTGTCTGTCTGTCTGTGTTTTGCTTCTTGCCCCGAATGCCTGCGTGTTTGGGGGATTGTGTTTTGTTACACTGTTTGGCTGATTCGAGAGGGAGCAAAGGAGTTCCATGCCAGTTGCGGATCTACGATTAAAGCTAAACATCTTTCCCCCCACCCTATCCTGGCAGTTGCTTATCTAAAGCTAAACAAATCCCCCCCCCCCCTAGGGCCCTATCCTGGCAAATGTGGGGATTCTCACTGAGTTTGGCTCAACGCCCAAACCTCGCCCTTCCCTGGCGAGCCCACCAAAACCGCTGTCTGCCTCGATGCGCTCGAAGTGCACGGGCCAGAAGTCTGAGCGCGCACAGCGAGCTTCGGCACTTCGGGACTGGAGAAAAGGCTCTGGCAATTTGCCTCTTCCCCTCATCAGGGATCCGGATCCGGATGCTTCTGATTTTCCTATTGACCACTAAAATGGTCCAAGCCCAAACAGTTGCTGAAGTTCATGAACTCAAAAAGTGAGTTATAAACCGGGATCCGCATGCATATACCTGAACATTGCAACTTGGTAAATGGTGGTGTCAACAAATTTATTTTGGTGTTAAAAAAAAGCAACATGCTGAAAAATGGGTGCAAAATGGAGATCTTTTAAGGAGCCCTGATAAATCACCTCCCTTCTGACTGGTTTGGAGCCGTCGCTTGGGAATTGATCCTAGGTCCTCCAGATTTGAGAGGTTCGAGTAAGGGTACCCGATTCTTTTCAGTAGTCTATTGTAGTAGGGGAACCCTCCCAAAACAGGGTAAAAGGGCACAACTGGGGGCCCTAGGATCTGTTCCCCCTCATACATCACCTTCCCTCTACTTGGCGGTTTAGAGCCTTGGAAAGGGTGGTTTTAGGGGGTGGTGTCCGAGAACACCCCCTACCAGAGACCATCGAATCCCCAAACCCCAATCCAAAGCGCCAACTCAAGGTCCTACCAATGAGTGTCTAAGAGTCATGACCCCTCTGCAGAAAAAAATCCCTCAGGGGCCCTCAGGGGCCCTTGGGATGAAACTTGTCCAAAGGCAGGTGACATATCAAGTCCTTGTGGCCATGCTGCCCTTCCAGAAGGGCGAAATGAGAAATGAAACATACATCCACTAGTCACCCTCCCGTAGGTCTCAATGTAATTCCGGGTAGGTGCCCCTGCCAAATACCAAAGATCAGATCCATGGGTACGTAAAACTAGGTCCTCCAGATTT